TTCCGCAAATGTTTTTGACGCTCCTTCTGGGCTCTTCCTCAGCCTTTTTTTGATAAATACTGAGCTGGATGTTGAAAATCGAACATTTTCTTTTGATTCGTTTACCTTTCGAATCATCTCTTTTTCATTTTAAATTTGACTCGAAGGTTTCCACGTGCAATGATTCAAAAGGTAAACGAATCAAAAGAAAATGTTCGATTTTCAACATCCAGATCAGTATTTATCAAAAAAAGGCTGAGGAAGAGCCCAGAAGGAGCGTCAAAAACATTTGCGGAAGTATTATACATTCACTCCGGTTACAAGGTTTAAAGTAAGAGTTATTTTTACTTCAACATTATAACAACATATACAATCAACCCAATAATTAATTTAAATACCAAACAAACAGCCAGATTTTTTATTGGGCTACTTATAAATATACTTATATAGCTAATTGATTACCAAGTAATTTGGCTGGAGGTAGTGGTTAGACTGCCATCTTGTAATAAATTTAATAATTAAAACTAATTTTTTGCTTTAATTTAGAATATTCTAGAATAAAAAATCAGTCTAGACTGGGACTTGAACCTGCAACTCCTGCTTACTGTATAAATGTGTTGCCAGTTATGCTGTTAGACCTCCTTCCCAATCTTCACTTCCAGTCCAATTAATTAATTTAGATATAACCATACTAAGCATCCAGGGTCCTCTGTAGCTCTTACCTGACTTGGGCCTTTGTCCTGTATATAACAACATTTACAACCAACCTGATGATTAATTTAAATACCAAACAAATAGCCATTTTCTTCCAGAATATTCTAAATTAAAACGAAAATTAATTTTAATTATTAAATTTAACGAAAGATGGTAACTTAACATCAAATTAGCTTAGCAAGTAGCTAGCATGATAAAAGAATCTGGCTGTTTGGTATTTCAACATTACTTTGAAAGTTATAATATGAAATATTTTAATGAAAGTTTTGACTGTATTTTAACACCAAAAATTGAGCTTTTACTTTTGTTTGCAATTAAAGAAAGAAAGAGAACAAGCAAATGAAAATTACTGTGACATCATCATCACAATGCCTGGCTGCAATTTTAATATTTTAAATTTATTTAATTTAAAATATATGCTCTTTATTTTAGTAGTGTCTTGTCCCAGTACATCATACTTTTCCTGATAACAAATCATGACAGCCATCTAGTTAACTCCATTCCAGAGAAAATTTTTGAATTGAAATCACATGATTTCTAGTCCAGATCAGAATGTCATATATAGTTAATTGGAGCCTCCTGTCTGTACGCTTTCCACATCTAGTCTCAACTTTCATCTGTCTAACTCTATTCTTGAGGTTACAAAAGGACAAATGGGCAGACACCAATGGAAATTTATAGAATTTTTAAATAATTACAATAGTTAAATTAACAGAAAGCTACTTCACACTCACTAAATAAGTCTTATTTCAAATACAAATGTATGTAATTTAAATTTTTATTAATGAAAATTACACTTTATTTTAAAATAAGCAGAAGTGTAACTTTTATAAATTATATTAATGTAATTAATTATTTGACACAGGATTTTTCATAAATTAACCCTTTATTTTTATTATATGTGATGTCAGGTAGTTTCCTATCAACTCGCATTCCTAAATTCTATTAGTAAAGCTATTAATATTTCAAGCCATATTTATCTATTATGGAATTGTATTTATAATTTACAATATGTTCTTACAATTTATTATTATTATATCTACTGAAATGACAATATGTTTCTAAAGAATCATTTTTCTGTATGTATATGCACATACATACTATCTAATTCTACTAGTAACAATATATTTGATAAAGTAATAATTATATTAAAAAATCTAGAAAAGCAAAAGTCATGAACACATCATTCAACATATTTTAGATAAATTAAAACTTTAAAAAATTTACTCGTTTCCACAACATTCTATTATTTAAAAAAAAAAAACACTTAGGAAAAAAAAAATAGATAAGATATCAGGACACACTTCAATTTACTAATGTGGTCTGTTAAATCAAAATTAAAGCACCAACTAATATTTGAGGAGGCAAAAATCAAATATACAAATGCCTACAGTAGTATGCGAGGTTTAATTCTTATAGTCACATTTAAGCAGTAAAATGGCATCAATCTGTCCCAAAAATGCAACAAACATATTGGTCATAAATTAAACAGTACTCTATGCCCTTCAGTTATGATCTGGAAGGGGCTGGTTTAGGCATAAAACTGGAACAAAAAATGCCAAATTAATTTTGGCATTTTTTGTGTTTTTTTTTCTCTCCCATGTTGAGACAATGTCTAAAATCAGTATTTATTTGTAAATCATACTATACAGAATTCTGTATGATCACTGATCCTCTTAGCCCACTTGAAGATGAAGTGACAATTAACAGTCAACTTTACCAAGCAATCACTGTTAAAATGTTAGGTATGTTTAATGTAAGAAAAACAACATCAAAAATACTTTATAACATAAAGCGGCATTAAAGAACATTTTAAGAAATGTTTTAATTTAAAACATTTCTTAAAATGTTCTTTAATACCTCTTTATGTGAATATTTCTCATGAATCAGTAAAATTGTTGGCATGACATCCACTCTATCGATTTAAGTTTACCTATGTTGTTGCTGAAATTTCCAAAGTTTGGTGTACACATCAAAAGTTCGACCAAAATATGCTTGCCACTGTTTATGACCATATTGCGGCAGGTCTCTAAATAAATATAAATTTTTATGTTATGAATTCTATCACAATGTAGTAAACGCATTTTCCGAATATTATTTTTGAATATATTGTTCATTAGAGTAATTACATTAAAGAAAATTGCATGCATTCAAAACTTAAATTATTACACTCAAAACACATTTAATTATTAATCTGTTTTGAAAAATATGAGATAAGTGGTAGATTTCTATTATTAGATAGAGAAAAATTGCAGTTTATGTAATTACAAAAGAAAGAATGGTTCACATGTATTAAGAATGCATATAACAAATTAAAATATTTCTAATAGGAATAAGAAATCCAATGTATAAATCATTAATTTAATAGTCATCAGGAGTATTTTTTATCTAATTAACAAGAACAGACAAGAAATACATCACACGCATTAATGCAAAAAAGTAAACATCAGTTTTTGCTGTTAATATACAATTAAAAATTTAATATAAACTGACATTTTTAATATTTCAACATTATTCTTCTCCACACACCAGAACATACTAAAAATAACTCTTACTTTAAACCTCGTAACCAGAGTGAATGTATAATACTTCCGCAAACGTTTTCGACGCTCCTTTTGGGCTCTTCCTCAGGCTTTTTTTGATAAATACTGAGCTGGATGTTGAAAATCGAACATTTTCTTTTGATTCGTTTACCTTTCGAATCATCTCTTTTTCATTTTAAATTTGACTCGAAGGTTTCCACGTGCAATGATTCAAAAGGTAAACGAATCAAAAGAAAATGTTCGATTTTCAACATCCAGATCAGTATTTATCAAAAAAAGGCTGAGGAAGAGCCCAGAAGGAGCGTCAAAAACATTTGCGGAAGTATTATACATTCACTCCGGTTACAAGGTTTAAAGTAAGAGTTATTTTTACTTCAACATTATAACAACATATACAATCAACCCAATAATTAATTTAAATACCAAACAAACAGCCAGATTTTTTATTGGGCTACTTATAAATATACTTATATAGCTAATTGATTACCAAGTAATTTGGCTGGAGGTAGTGGTTAGACTGCCATCTTGTAATAAATTTAATAATTAAAACTAATTTTTTGCTTTAATTTAGAATATTCTAGAATAAAAAATCAGTCTAGACTGGGACTTGAACCTGCAACTCCTGCTTACTGTATAAATGTGTTGCCAGTTATGCTGTTAGACCTCCTTCCCAATCTTCACTTCCAGTCCAATTAATTAATTTAGATATAACCATACTAAGCATCCAGGGTCCTCTGTAGCTCTTACCTGACTTGGGCCTTTGTCCTGTATATAACAACATTTACAACCAACCTGATGATTAATTTAAATACCAAACAAATAGCCATTTTCTTCCAGAATATTCTAAATTAAAACGAAAATTAATTTTAATTATTAAATTTAACGAAAGATGGTAACTTAACATCAAATTAGCTTAGCAAGTAGCTAGCATGATAAAAGAATCTGGCTGTTTGGTATTTCAACATTACTTTGAAAGTTATAATATGAAATATTTTAATGAAAGTTTTGACTGTATTTTAACACCAAAAATTGAGCTTTTACTTTTGTTTGCAATTAAAGAAAGAAAGAGAACAAGCAAATGAAAATTACTGTGACATCATCATCACAATGCCTGGCTGCAATTTTAATATTTTAAATTTATTTAATTTAAAATATATGCTCTTTATTTTAGTAGTGTCTTGTCCCAGTACATCATACTTTTCCTGATAACAAATCATGACAGCCATCTAGTTAACTCCATTCCAGAGAAAATTTTTGAATTGAAATCACATGATTTCTAGTCCAGATCAGAATGTCATATATAGTTAATTGGAGCCTCCTGTCTGTACGCTTTCCACATCTAGTCTCAACTTTCATCTGTCTAACTCTATTCTTGAGGTTACAAAAGGACAAATGGGCAGACACCAATGGAAATTTATAGAATTTTTAAATAATTACAATAGTTAAATTAACAGAAAGCTACTTCACACTCACTAAATAAGTCTTATTTCAAATACAAATGTATGTAATTTAAATTTTTATTAATGAAAATTACACTTTATTTTAAAATAAGCAGAAGTGTAACTTTTATAAATTATATTAATGTAATTAATTATTTGACACAGGATTTTTCATAAATTAACCCTTTATTTTTATTATATGTGATGTCAGGTAGTTTCCTATCAACTCGCATTCCTAAATTCTATTAGTAAAGCTATTAATATTTCAAGCCATATTTATCTATTATGGAATTGTATTTATAATTTACAATATGTTCTTACAATTTATTATTATTATATCTACTGAAATGACAATATGTTTCTAAAGAATCATTTTTCTGTATGTATATGCATATACATACTATCTAATTCTACTAGTAACAATATATTTGATAAAGTAATAATTATATTAAAAAATCTAGAAAAGCAAAAGTCATGAACACATCATTCAACATATTTTAGATAAATTAAAACTTTAAAAAATTTACTCGTTTCCACAACATTCTATTATTTAAAAAAAAAAAACACTTAGGAAAAAAAAAAATAGATAAGATATCAGGACACACTTCAATTTACTAATGTGGTCTGTTAAATCAAAATTAAAGCACCAACTAATATTTGAGGAGGCAAAAATCAAATATACAAATGCCTACAGTAGTATGCGAGGTTTAATTCTTATAGTCACATTTAAGCAGTAAAATGGCATCAATCTGTCCCAAAAATGCAACAAACATATTGGTCATAAATTAAACAGTACTCTATGCCCTTCAGTTATGATCTGGAAGGGGCTGGTTTAGGCATAAAACTGGAACAAAAAATGCCAAATTAATTTTGGCATTTTTTGTGTTTTTTTTTTCTCTCCCATGTTGAGACAATGTCTAAAATCAGTATTTATTTGTAAATCATACTATACAGAATTCTGTATGATCACTGATCCTCTTAGCCCACTTGAAGATGAAGTGACAATTAACAGTCAACTTTACCAAGCAATCACTGTTAAAATGTTAGGTATGTTTAATGTAAGAAAAACAACATCAAAAATACTTTATAACATAAAGCGGCATTAAAGAACATTTTAAGAAATGTTTTAATTTAAAACATTTCTTAAAATGTTCTTTAATACCTCTTTATGTGAATATTTCTCATGAATCAGTAAAATTGTTGGCATGACATCCACTCTATCGATTTAAGTTACTTAACAAGATGAGTACTAGAAATCAGACGTTCTTTTCTATACTTTATAACAATTACTGTTATTGAGCAAACTCAATTATCAATCACAATAACAACCACTAACTCTAAACAGCACAAGAAACAATGAGCAATTATTTATTGTGATTTCTGGTCCAGACCAGAAGTTCATATATATTTAATCAGGGCCTCCAGCCTGTAAACTTTCCATATCTGGTTTGAATTTTTACTTATCTAAGTCTGTTCAAAATTAATTGTGAAGACAGTCAGCAATGATGAAAATGTACAGGTCTGCAATTTGAAAATTATAGTCCAAAAATTTGACACAAGATTTTTCCAAAAAGAAATTAAGAGGCAAAGAAAAGTAAAAATGCACAATGACTGTAATAAATACATACCAAAATAATATTTGATTTGAATACATGAGAGCAATACAGTATAACTCCAACTATGCAGATTAATTGGGACTGAGCCATCTGGATATGCAGAAAATCTGAATATTTGAATTTTTTTTAAAGGTACTAGGCTATTATCACAACATAAAGTCTAATTTTCTACATATGGTTACTTTACACTATTTACTATTGACTGTAATACAATATACATAAACTTTACTTGGGTGCAGCAAATGAATTATCTTGAAAGTTCAAATTAGTTTGTTGCCAAATATGTAATGTCTGATTAAAACATTTATCAACTATTCAAGTTTTAATAGACAAAAATAACTAAATATGTATTCCATCAAATATCTGTTTGAAAAAATTTCAAACACAATCAAAATATTTGCTAAGTAAAAATTTTACTATGACAAATATGACTAACCTGAATGATATATGAAACCTATATACAACAAACCTCAAATAGTAGCATTATACAACAAAATTAAGAGCTGAAATTCAAAATTCTAAATGATTACCAGAAGATAATATATTAATAAACAAATAACTAGATTCATTTTAAATAACAGATGACAAAAAAATTTAATATCTATAGAAATAAAACTGCTAAGCAAAAATATTCTTCTTTAATGTTCATTTAATGTTAATTTTTTAAAAATAAATGTTAAACTTTATGAGCATTTATTTATTATGACATTGTCACAATGTCAGGCTGCAATTTTTATCATATTTTTTTCAATTTATTTCATTTAAAATATATGCTCTCCACCTCAAATTAGTAGTGTCTTACCCTGTACATCATACTTTTCCTGTTAGCAATAGACTCATGCCAGTCATCTAACTTTTTTCACGGAAAAATTTTTGAATTGAAATAATGTGACTTCTGGTTTGCATTGAAAGTTTGTATTTAGTTAATCAGAGCAGCCTGCTCTTAATCTTTCCGTATCTGGTCTTAGCTTTTGTCTATCTAACTCCATTCTTGAGATTAAGGAAGGACAGACTGGTGGATGACAGTAAGCATTTATAAGTTTACAATTTTTTCAAATTGCAGCATAATTTATCCAAAAAAATTATTTTTAATATTTGTTTTATATATTATGCAACTGTTGATATTTATATCAAGTATCTAATTAAAAGATAAACAACTTTGTTCTAGCTTAGAAAAAAAAAAAATGCTTATGTGCTCACTAAAACACAAAACAACAATGCATACAAGTTTAATTTAAAACTTGATCAATGCAGAGCTTCTCAGCATATTTTTTGGACAAATATCTATATTAGAGAGGGCCACATTGGAACTAAGTCCTATTATAAACTAGAATATCAACCATTATTTATTCCAGCTTTTTCCACTGACCCCACAATTACAAAATGGCTGCATGCAAGCTTTCACACACTACACAGATATCCTTCACACATTGGAGACACACGGAAAACATTATTTTCACTCATTTATATTAAAAAAAAATTTTTAGAATGAAGAAGTGTATTCAATATTTATCATTCAGTATTCAATATTTATCATGTGTTTATATACTATTCTGAAATCATCATTAATCAATAAGTAAATAATTTTGTTAATAATATGCTAAATATTTTATAAAATAGCATAACTCAACTTCAAATTTTAGTATTATTAATGATTTATATGGGAACATTATGTTACAGTCCTAAAATCACAGCAAATTTTTGCCTAAAAATTCAATAAAGAATGGAATATTTTCAGACTGAAAACAGAATGCTTGCCAAAATATTTGATAATCAATAATATAGAAGTAATTAAAAAATGATTATATCTTACATTAGAGTTTATCAAAACAAAAAATTATTCACAGCAAATATTAGTATTTACTTCAATATTTTATTAAAAATATAATGATGTATTAAATGAGCAAAAACATTAAAATATCTTGTACTATTAAAATTTATTTACGAACTGATTGGTACTATTTTACTGCTTAATAAATTAAAACATGAAGTAGTTATGCTAAATAATCCTTATTGTTTTGTTTTTTAAATAATAAAATAATTAAAGTAAAATATAGCTTTACTTCATTAAATATTTAATATCATCTTAAACATAAAGACACTAAAAATTACGAATAAGAACCAAGAAAATAAACACAGTTTTTTTAATTATTATTCTTAATTTTAATTCTTAAAATAAAAATTATGAATTTTATGAGAAAAATAATGATTACATTTATATGTAATCAAATTTTTAAATTTCACAGAATCAATAGAAATTTACTGTAAAATCATCATTTTTTCTTTCCGTTTTCACAATGTATATATTAATCCATACACACATTTTATTTCAATAAAATCTGCATTGATTCTAGATAAAAATAGTCCAAAACAGTTGTAGAACTTTTGCCAACTTTTATCATGTTCTTAAAATACTTTGCAGACTTTATTAAACTCTTTTTCATATCCAAAACCATTAATGGATAATTTTATAACAAAGTGCTTTTAAGTGACAGATGCTTGTAAACAATAGTGTAAACAGATTACAAGAAATTGAAAAATTTATAATACAAGCTCCTAGACAAAGAATTAGAATAGGTACCTAACTGATAGTTTAGTGTACATTTTCTCATGAACAACACAGGGTACGGAACTTTTTTATCCTACATAAACAATGTCTATATATGTTTATTATACCCGTTAATCACCCAAATTAACTCAAACATTTTTTTGTTACAAGTGGAAATGAAATGACAAAAAAATAGAACAACAGTTTGACTGTGACAAAAAATTAGAATATTAGCAAAAA